TCTGCTATCTTTTAGCAGTGGTTTATTTTCCATGGAGTTTGGTGATGAATTTCCTTGGCGCTTGGATAGATTCTGAACTAAATTCATCCAGGAACTTTTAGACATCACTTTTATGCATGTTTGTTGGGATTGGAGTGCATTTTAGTTTGTTTTTTATTGTGAGGGGATGGAAGTATTTGTGTCTGTAGAAATCATCATATGTTTTGCTTTCATGGATTATTTTTTCACCGTATTAGGTGACCTGTCTAGGCTGTATTTGGTTTGGGGATCAGGAAGTTTAAAGCTGCCGATTTAGTTGGATGGGATTCTGTTATGAGTGGAAGGAACCACCCATGCAGTTGGGTGAGGTAAAGATTCTTCTCTGATGTGTAGCAGAAAGATAACACTTGTTAGTCTGCTTTTTGAGCAGTGAAATAGCTTCCTGGTTTGCACATCAGAAATGTTAAACAGTAGAATTCATTTTGTGCAGAAGCACCACAACTCCTGCACCTCGCTAGGATGTCAAAGCCCCTTTCCTTTTCAGAACTGGCCACAACATCCCTATCTGCTCTGGCGGTGACTCTCTCTTGGAGAGTCCCTCCCAAACCAGCCTGGTTGTGGGGCAGATCAGTAGCCCAGGGTACTGGCCCATCCCGGCCTGCTGTGGGAAGGACATTGAGGGTGGTGCTGACCTTTACCAAGTCCAGCCTTCCCCCACTCTGTCCAGTAGGATGAAGGCATGTCTGACCACCTAAGGCAATGCACTGCGGCCTTAGAAACTTGCCTCTTAAGGATATTTCCACCTCTTGTCTCATATTGAGATATAGCAAACATTTTAGCACCCAACCTGCAGGCTGACTTCTCAGATTAAACTCACAAACTCAACGTGAGAAAGAAGAGAGCCTCACATCTCCTCGACAGCCGGTCCTGCTGCTGCACAACCATACACTAAACGCAAACGGCACATCCCCACCAGCCCACTGTCTCCTGCAGTCTTGTGCCTTATTTGTGAATGGGGTTTACGGTTTTTTCCTATATAGTATCACCCAAATCTGTTAACTTGAAAGTCTATTCAACTCAGGCCTAATCCAGGGTTTTGCAAGCTTTTTGGCTTATGCTTTTTTATGAGTATGTAGCCTTAACTATAACATTCTTTGAACTTCAGGCTTTTCAGTATTTTTATCATGTATGACATCATGTCCCTTAACATTAATAAAAGGCACACAGTAAAGCATATTGCTTTACCTATAGAGTCATATGAAGAGATTAATACATGTTTTACCTAATTTTTTTAAAAAGAGAGAAATTAGTTGCTGAGGAGTCTGCCCTGTTGCTCATTGCATTTTTCAAATATGTTTATCTTTTAGAAGGTGTTAACAGTGGAAGTAGAATGAAATAACCCAATTTCAAAGACATCATATTTTTTTTCTTATGAATTTTCTCAATATGGCAATGTATAAAGAGTTACCTAGTTAATAAGCTTTAATTATTATAAAGTAAGCTACAGATCGTCACTTCTTACAAATAATAGATTATCCCATGGTTCCTTTTGAAAAGGTTCTTTAGGGTCTAAATTTCTGGCACATGGCAGTGTAGAGTGTGATGGTGGCTTAAGTTTTCTGGCTGGGGACCACAGGAATCCCTGCTCCCATGGAAGGTACCCTGTGGCTGTAGTAACTGCCTTCCGTTCTCTTGTTTTGGCAGGTGTTCTTTGCCTCTGTTCAGTCTGGTGGCAGCAGTCATGTTTATTTCATGACTTTAGGCAGGACTTCGCTTCTGAGCTGGTAGAAGCAGTGTGATCCAGGATTGCTGGTCTCCAGGGTCTTCAAGGTCCTGAGAACTTGGAATTCCTTGCAACTGGAACTCAGAGCTGCACTTTAGCAGCCAGGACAGCTGTGTGTGCAGACCTCATGTGCTTGGGTTCTCTCTCTCCCTTCCTTCCTGCCTCTCTCTCCCTTCCTTCCTGCTCTTCTTTTACCAGTTTATCCCTGTTCTCTTCTTTTCTTTACTTGAAAATAAATCAAGGCTGCAATGCAGCTGGTGCTGTTCAGATTCTACCATCAGGTGCTTTAAGTGTTGGGGATTGAGCATCAGACTGGGAAGCAGACACTTTCCTGCAGCTCCAGAATTCCTCGTCTCTGAATGACTGTCTTATGGGTGTCTGAAGGTGGCGACAGTGAACATGCTGTTGGTTTTACTGGCAGTGGGCACAAGGAGGTGAAAGTGGTGGTATAAGGAGCAGGTTGACGAAGCAGAGAGCAGATTTAATATAGTAACATTAACAATGTATTTAACTAACTTTCCTTTTTTTGTAATGACAATATGTGGACAAAAGAAGGTGCAGGTTTAAGAAGTTAATATTTAGGGCCGAGCCCGTGGCGCACTCAGGAGAGTGCGGTGCTGGGAGCGCAGCAGCGCTCCAGCCGCAGGTTCGGATCCTATATAGGGATGACCGGTGCGCTCACAGCGCTCACTGGCTGAGCGCGGTGCGGCTGGTCTCAAAAAGGACAAAAAAAAAAAAAAGTTAATATTTATCAAATGTGAAAGACAGTTACTGGGATAACTTTTGTGGGTGGGGCTAGGGAGGTGGAGTGGGATAGGTTGAAGGGTCTCATTTTGTTTCTTTGGATTTTGGGGGGTGGGGGGGTGGGTGGATCATGGCCTAGAACCCAGTCATTTTTCTGTGTACCCAGTTTTGCCTAAATCATGAGCAAATAGTTCTAAAAAAAGAAAAAGAAAATATATGCATTTTGTATAATGGCCAGAACTTTGTCGTGTGACAGTATTAGCACTGCCTCAGTTAAAGGTTTAATTTTTATTTAAACCTTGAAGTGCAACAACAGCTTTAGCACAGTCTGCACTTGCAGAAGAAAAAAAACCCTCAATCCAGATGTTTATTTGTTTTTTGCCTACCTCATTGTCTTTCATGCATTGAGAGGTGATTTAGTTTATGTGTTTTTGGAGGAAACCATTAACATTTAATTTAATCTTAATACCAAAACTATCAGATTGAAGTTTGACTATTATTTTGTTAGAAGCCTCAGCAGGCCCAAGAAAACTGTCCATGAAAGTGGGAAATAGTCCTACAGCTAATGCAATCTGCTTTCTAAGATTAGAAAGCAGAGCACTTCAGTCTCACCAGATGCAGCATTAGTGGTTGATGGGGCCACTGCAGCCTACGACACAAGAGATCTCATTGCTCTTAACTGTGGTTTGGTTGCAGACAGGTGGTCACGTTAGAATAGTCACACAAACTGTTCAGTGTTGCAGGAACCTTTTCTTGGGGGTGGGGGTATTTCCCTTTTCTAAAAATGCAATGCACTAAACTTACAGGAATGTAGTTAATTCTGCTTATTCATAACAATGGCATCTTTCTGTGTTTTAGGTATAATATCAAAGCCCTGGCTTTTCTTGTATTCTCACTTGCTCTCTTGTTCTCTGTTTTTTAAACTAGTTTTACTTTATGGATATGTTCGTGACATTTGTAATAAGTGTCATGAGTAATAACTTGGTTCATGGCTTTGTGGTCATCATTTCCTCTAAGGGTATTGATGTCTTGGTGAGGAGCGGTGCTTGCTTCTGCTGTCTTACTTTCCTCTTGCTGAGTTCTCAGTGGGAATGTTGCACAGCACCTGCCTTAGGCTGTGTTCACCAAACAGAAGCTGGGTGTTTCATAGGCTTAGTCTTCTCCCACTGTGGTTAATTTTCTTTTATAGCATGAAAATGGGAATTTTCCTCTATTTTCCCCCCTCAAGTATGACATTCATTTGTACCTATTTGTCAAGGCTTTACCAGCTTCTGCATCTCATTTGGCTTCCATTCTGACCATGTCATTCTCTTACTCTTGGTTCAGCATTTTCACTAAAGGCTTTCCTTTGAACTACAAAAATCTAGAAAGATGGGCCGGCCCAGTGGCGCACTCGGTAGAGGGCGGCGCTTGGGAGCGCGGCGGCGCTCCCGCCAAGGGTTCGGATCCCATATAGAGACCGGTCTACTCAATGGTTGAGCGCAGTGCAGGCGCGACACCGAGGGTTGCGATCCCATTGCTGGTTGCGGTACAGGCGCAACACCGAGGGTTGCGATCCCGTTACCGGTCACGAAAAAAGACAAAAAGGTAAAAAAAAAAAAAAAAAAAAATCTAGAAAGAAATATAGACACTCAACAAATGCCCGGAGAACAGCTGGTCATACACTTCCATACAGACAAAATCAGCTAAGAAAGCCTTACTTTCTTTTGGAGGGACAAGGAGATCGAAGTGGATTTCAGCTAAGAAAGCCTTACTTTCTTTTGGAGGGACAAGGAGATCGAAGTGGATTTTACATTTGTGTGACTTTGGAATAGTGCTAATGGCCAAAGCAGAAAGAACTGGTTCTTTTTCGCTAGTTTGTAGTTACCCTAGAGAAGGTTGAGAGTTGATCGCACCTTTGGAAAGGATTTGAGGTAGGCTGGGTTTCCTCACCCCTGGACTGTAGTCAGAATCAAGTTTGTGCTGGCCATTTCCTATCCATGTTTAGGCTTTTCATAGGATGAAATGCACCACAGTGAACACACATGTGCACATATCAAGAGAATAAAGAACAGGTTGACTCATTGCAGCTCCTCCTTGGCTTTGGAGAGCAGCAAAAGGTGGGTAGGTGTCTTTGAAGAAATTCCAAATGTCCAGTGCCAATAAGGGAGAAGTGACAGAGGATGTGGTGTTGTGCTCCTAGATTGACAGAGGATGTGGTGTTGTGCTCCTAGATTATGCACAGACTGGAAGCCGATGTCTATAGGTCAAGCAGCAAATAATGCAAATGGTGTTTCATTGGAGTTACTGAGTATTTAAGAACTTGACAAAAATTGGCTTTCCCTTAAGAGGGTGTGGTAATGGGACCTTGGGCGCAGGTTAGATCGTGGCTGTCCTGCTTGCACTGTGCCAGGCACCCAGTGGGTCTTCTCTTGATGACTCCATTGCTGGGCCTAATCCACTGAAGCTGGACAGCTGTTTGTCCTTCTGGGTGGGCCCCTGGTGTGTCCTTTCCGTAACTGTCCTATCCTCTTTCCCTTCTTGACTTCAATACCTTGTAAACCAAGACTGAGTTGCTGCAGCTTGATGCAGGTACCCAGTGAGGTTTCTCCATTAAAGGTTATAAGCTGTTGAAATTTTAGATTCTTCTAGGGAAGGAATGATTTTTTTTCCCTTCTACAGTGTAGTGACTTCACAGCAGTGCCAGTATGGCAAAATTACAACAGAAAGCAGTATTACGATGATACCATTAAATGTGGAACATTGAACTGTTGCAGGAGTGCTGTACACAGCAACACAAATATGTCTCTCAGTTTAGTCAACGCTTTAAAGATTAATACCTGTCCGTATTTAAATCAGAATAGCCCTTTTCTCTATTGAGTGCAGTGTTTTGACTTTTTTCTCATGCACGTAATGTTGGAGAAAATGTTCACAAATGTGGTTTCCTTACACTGATGTGCATCACATATTTATGGTGTATTTTAGTGATTTTTTTATGGGTTATTTAGATTTTTGTCTTAGTTGTAGCACAGTTATGGTGATACATAATCCCTAATTTTCCAATTATAAATTTGCTAAATAGTAATATAATGACAAACTGCATCAGATTTACCAACTATAAAGCTGCAAAGCAGACTGGTGGCAAGTACACCCCCCCTTTTGTTCAGTGCTAACTTGTCTCCTGTGTGAAAATCACTGTTGTCATCCTCCCCCACCCCCTTTTCTTTTCGTAAATAAAAGTAAAAAATGACACCTGTTTTATGTGGCGTGAGTTTCAAATATGTTCTGACCCTTCAGAGTGTTTTCTTCCTGTGAGGATCCATATTTTATGCACACCTCCTGCCCTGAGCCACCCAGGCCAGAGTGGGCTCCCACACCCCGCTGTCTCAGACGGCAGGAGCTTGCCCAAAGGATACCCAGGCATAGGTTATGAAAGTAGCCAGCGTTTGTCCAAAGGTCTCAGAGATGAAATGGGTGATAAGCTCTTTATTGCCATGTTCCTGAAGCCAAAATGGAGTAAAGCTCATCCTTCAGGAAGAATTATGGTTGGATATTCGCAAGTCTAAATTGGATCAAAAAGCAAAATAGCATGATATCTGTACCTAATAGGACAACTAAAGTGGCTCTTTCTCAATTTGGCACATAAATACTACCTTGGGCCTAGTTATTGGAGCTTCTTCAGTGTAAAGTCATTGTGCCTGAGTGCTGGGGTGCCCCATGGATCCCCCCATACATCTAGTCAGTGCGATCCCCATTTGACAGATCTGGGGCCACCTTGCCTAAGCCTCCAGGGCTGCCCGTGCTCCATCATCATCAGTTAAATGTTAGTCCACTAACTCGTTTGTGCTTCGTACTAGATGTATGTCATTTATTTCTCCTAGGTGAAAATAAAACTGTAAATACCTAGGCCACCAGATGAGTAAGTTTTTTGTT